GAGGCAGCCACGCTCTCTCAAGCCTCTCCCCCGCAGCCTTGAGGGGAGAATCGGAAGAAAAAGGCAAAACTGGTGGGTTGGGACAAAGGCAGTTGAACAGAACAGCAAAGGGAACAAGAAAACTCTACCAGTAACACGGAGAGAGGAATATACAAACACGATTACGATACCACCGCTCACCGACTGCACCCGCACCAACAACCAACCTCCTGTCCTCCCCCTTCCCCGGCCAGCTCCCGGGCTGGAGGGCTTCCCAAAAGGTCTGTAAGGCTCTGTAGAGGAAGACAAGCTTTTAAAATTATTTCTGGATTATTTTTTTCCTTTTGCTTTAATATGGGGGGAATTTGTGTTCTTGCTCTTCTTTTTTTTTTAAAAAAAAAAGAAATCAATTGTGTTCCAGAACTGGGATTGGATGTAGGACCCAAATACCTTCAGCTACAGGGACACAGATACCTCCTGCCAGCAGAGATGCCCTGGACAAGTGCCAGCGCAAGCCTGACTTCTCCCGTTCCTCAATCAGCCAGAGCTTGTTGAACCATTCCATCAGGTCACCAACTGTCGTGGTTGAGCCTCAGGCGACAACAAAGAACCACGAGGCAGCCACAATGTCCTGGAGCAGTTCTTCTGTGAAATCCCCCAGATGTCACCTCCAGGTGCTCCTGAGGCGACTTTCCAAAATGGTGTTCCCTGGAAGCAAAGTGTCTCTCTTTTGATATCTCTCACCTTGGTTGGCTGTGTGAGCAGTGGCACATTTTCAAGGGGATTTTTCAATTGAAAAGTCAAAGAAGAGGTTCTGCATAGATCAGGAGCTTTCCTGAGTCTGTGTTCAGCTTCCAGTTTTCCTTTTTTTTTTTCTGGGAGCTACAGACAGCACCAGCAACCCCTTTTCCAGTCTCATCAAGGTTTGTGGAGCCTGCTCTTTAGCCCCTGCACACACGGAGAGGCTGCAGGGCAGAGCTGGTCACACAGGGGCTGGGCTGGAGTCTGTGAGCCCTGGCAGGGAAGAGACGTGGGGCCAGAGAAACAGCTCCTGGCAGCAGAAATGGGCAGGAAAGGAGGGAATTGCTACTGGGAACTGTTGCAGAGGAGATACGGGCACCTCCCAGCAACCCCTGCAGTGCAGATGCCTTCCCTGAGAAGCCGAGAACAGCCCTTCGCCCTCATGGCCATGGGGTCTCGGGTGGGAGTCAGCTCTGTGTCCAGAAGAGCAGCAGAAGAGGCAAAGGGCATCCCTCCTGCCATGAGCCCATTTCTGGTGACCAGTAATGGGGAATGAGGGCATCTGTCCTGCCTTATCCCTGTCTGGGAGGTGACAGGCACAGATGGGTCAGGGTAATACTGTCCTGAGTGCTCCCTCTGCTCTCAGCACTGTCTCCTTGCAACACATCAGAGTGTGATCGCCCTCCATCTCATGGAGGTGCAAGGTCTAGTCAGCTGGGAAGAAGGCAGAGGGACAAACCAGCTCCCCGAACCCCCAGGAAATCCTCTTGTCTCTCAGAATTCACTCTGTTCTCCCTGAGTGCAGCAGAAATGCTGAGAGTTTCTGGCTTCCAAGAACACTCCCCAGGTGAGATGGGGGAAGCTGTGAACAACCCCAAACCTCTGACACTGCCTTCTGCCACCTCAGTTCTTTTGCAGGGGGAGTGCAGATGCTGGAAGAACCCTTTGCATTAGAGGCAACTTCATCCAACAAAGTCAACCACCAGGACTGGCCTTGCCCTCACTTTTCCCATGAGCCCACTGCTGCAGAGCAGCGCTGGCTCCTGGGCAGCCAGCATAGAGGCCCTGCTCCTCACAACACAGTCAGCCAGCACCAACCAGAGCTCATGGAATGGAGCTGATCTCAGCAGCCAGCATAGAGGCCCTGCTCCTCACAACACAGTCAGCCAGCACCAACCAGAGCTCATGGAATGGAGCTGAGGAAGGTCTCTTGGAAGAAGAAAAGGGGTGTGTGCAGCAAGGGCAGAGTTCTTGGGACATGGATTGACTTTGTTTGGAGAAGTCTCCACTCACTCACTGTATTTTTGTGTTTGAACAGGTCCCAATTCCCAGAGGCAGAAAATGTCCAACAGCAGCTCCACCACCCACTTCCTCCTCCTGGCATTTGCAGACACATGCCCTCACTTTTCCCATGAGCCCACTGCTGCAGAGCAGCGCTGGCTTCATGGCCATTTCCCTCTGGGACACCAAGTCTATTTCATACTGGGGATGTGCTGCACAACTCTTTCTGCTTTTTTTCTTCCTTGGGGCAGGGTTTTTTCTTCTCACCGTCATGTCCTATGACCGGTATGTGGCCATCTGCAAACCCCTGCACTACGGGACCCTCCTGGGCAGCAGAGCTTGTGGCCACATGGCAGCAGCTGCCTGGGGCACTGGGTTTCTCACTGCTCTCCTGCACACAGCCAGTACATTCTCAATACCCCTCTGCCAGGGCAACGGCATTGACCAATTCTTCTGTGAAATCCCCCAGATCCTCAAGCTCTCCTGCTCAGACTCCTACCTCAGGGAAGTTGGGCTTCTTGTGGTCAGTGCCTGTTTAGTGTTGGGTTGTTTTGTTTCCATTGTGCTGTCCTATGTGCAGATATTCAGGGCTGTGCTGAGGATCCCCTCGGAGCAGGGACGGCACAAAGCCTTTTCCACGTGCCTCCCTCACCTGGCCGCCGTCTCCCTGACTGTCAGCACTGGCTTCTTTGCCTACCTGAAGCCCCCCTCCATCTCCTCTCCATTCCTTGATCTGCTGTTGGCAGTTCTGTACACAGTGGTGCTGCCAGCAGTGAACCCCCTCATCTACAGCATGAGGAACCAGCAGCTCAAGGATGCCCTATGGAAACTGGCCCAGTGGATGCTCTCTCTTCTGATAATCCTTACCTCTTTTTCTCTGCACAGTTCCCAGAGTTTATATTAGGCCATAAGTCTTCTTTTTTTCTCTTCTGATAATCCTACTTATTGCTAATTTTCTGGATTTATACAACTTGTCTTTAGCCTTGATCCTGTTGTGTCTGACTGTTGCACAACACTGTGTCAGATCTGTCCTTTCAGATAACGGCTCTTCAAAACACAACATCACAGCATCTCACAGCTTTTCATGGCTCATCCTTTGCTGGCAACTAGGACAGCACAGCCCTTCACTCACTCCTCACCCCCTCGCTCAACAATAGGATAGGGTGAAGAGGGTGAAAAAGTAAAAAAAGCTCGTAGGTTGAGATAAAACAGATTAATACAATAATAATGGAAGAGGAAAATAAAATAATAATAATAATAGTGGCAAAAGAATATAGAAAATAATTGATGCAACACAAACTGCTCTCACCACCCAATGATCGATTGCCCAGCCTGTCCTGAGCTGCACTCGTGCATCCCTGCCCCCCCCGGGCCAAACCCCGTTTAGATACTGAGCATGACCTCTGTGGTATGGAATATTCCTTGGCCAGCTTGTCCTCTCTGTGCTTCTGTGGGAAGCTGAAGAAAGTCCTTGACTTATTACAAATACTACTTAGCATCAACAATCTATCATCAGCATTATTCTCATACAAAATCCAAAACTGAGCAGCCATTAGCAGCCATGGGCCTTGGGCATTGGACCTCATCGGGATCTGTGGGAAATTGTGCGTTGTCCGGGTCATAACAAGTCATCTCCCACACGGCTAATTCTCTCAGGTACTGGATACCTCTCTCCATGGTGGTCCACTTGCTTGGATAACATACAACATCTTCCCTAAAGGGGCACTTTTCCCTCACGCCTAACAGGAGTCACCTCCAGAGGCTGAGGGCTTGGGTCTTTTTCCCAATCACCTTGTCAATGTCCCCTTCCCGAGACAGGGATCCCAGCTCCATGGTTTCCCTACCCTCAAATTCCAGGTCCAATTCCAAGCATTGGAGACTGCAGGTGACAATGTGCTCATCCAGAAGCCAGCTGAGTTCCTTTCACATCCCCAACAGCTCACTCAGGGATATGGACGGGGTGATTATCTCTGGTTCTCCCTCTTCCTCCTGCTCTCGTGATGGCCCTGGTTCATTGTCATCCCTCACTGAGCCAACTGATTTCTTGGTGTATTCCATCTTCTGTAAAAGGGTGAACTGATACGGGAATGGGTTGCATTTCTAGTTCAGGCGCAGCACCTGCCACCAGGATTGAAGTAGCCACATTGCCTTTCACTGGGGTTCGAGTGGCCACAGTGTCTGTCGCAAGGGTCACAGTAGCTGCGGTGTCTGTCCATCTGGTTTCCCCCTCTTTCTCCTCAGAATGCTGCAAAATACTGAGCAGCGTCTGGTAGATACTGGCCAGGGCCCAGCACAGTGTGGTGAGTTGTGCCTCTCTGGAAGAACCACAGAGGTTTCATTTCAAATATTCTGTCACTTCATCAGGGTCCTGTACTCGTTTGGGGGTGAAGTCCCAGACCACTGGAGGACTAGTTTGGGGGTGAAGTCCCAGACCACTGGAGGTGAGAAGCTCTCTAGATACCTGCCCATATTCTCCCACATGCCATGCCAGCCCTGACTATGCAGCCTCGGGGCAGATCTCTGGGTGGGAGTCTGAAATAGTTGTTTAACCCTAAACTACACCTGGAACACATTCAGGAGACCAAGCCATAAGACCAAGAAGACCGGGCTGGTTTGAGCATCCCAAGGATATCCAAAATTATCAAAAAGTGTCAAACCTGGCCCAAATGAGGAAAAGGAGGTTGAAGTAGCCTCCCCTGCTTCCCCTAAAGATCGAGTGTAGTTGTTAATAAATTCTGAAAGATGGCACCTGAGGTAAGGGCAGGAAATCAATATCACATAAACACCCCAACACAACCATCTGACTAGTGATGTCATTATATCATAACGGGATATCACACAGGACAGGAACATGATAATCCTGGCCCTCTCCCAGAGGTGATAAACATCATCGTGCAGAGTCCATAGAGCATCTAGGAACTGACATAGGACAGCCATGAGAACATCCAAACACCATGGTGACCAGTGACTGTTTAACTAATAGAATAAATGCATTTCACATATTCCTTTCAGCACACTCTGGTCAGATCTGTCATTATCTCAACCCTTCGAGGCCCAGGTTGAGCACAAAAAAAAGGACTGTTGCACCTGAGCCTCTGAGGGCAAAAAGGAACCATGTGGCCGCTCTCTCAACCCCCCACCGCTGCGGGGAGAATTGGAAGAAAAAGGCCAAACTCATGGGATGAGACAAAGGCAGTTTAACAGCACAGCAAAGGGCACAGGAAAACAACAGCCATACCACTGACAGAGGGAGGTACAAACACCATTACGGTACCACCGCTCACCCACCGACCTGGGACTCCCCATCCTGCTCCCAAGGGGGGACTTCCTGCCCCCTCCCCTGGCCAGCTCCTGGCTACACACTGGCCATGGCTCACCTGGGATGGAATAGCTGTGTCTCTGAGAGAGCCTGGGGAGAATTAACCCTATCTCTGCTG